GAAACCTCCTGCTTTCTAGTGGCAGCAGTTTGTTACAAGGATTGATACTGAACGTGTCAGTCTATAGCAGCCTCTGCGTTATAGAAATAGATCCAGAAGTCTGGCCCTCTTCCAGGTCATTGTTTGCTGCAGTTGTCATTAGTATTTTGGTTTTGAGTAAGGATGAGGGAAAGTGACCTAAAAGCCAGTAAGCCTTGGAATGAGACAGTATAATGTTTTTGTTATACTATGCGCTTGGACAATTTTATATATAAACATAGTATAAATTCTGAAACTCTTAAAATAGAACATAAAATTAACCACAACCTAATCTGTAATGACTTAGACTATTTTGTTAAATTTCTGCAATACAGTGTGAACTGATGGAGGTTCTTTTCAGAAAAGTTAATGTATGTCTAAGATCTTTTTGGGCTTGTTTTCTTCTTAAGTTCAGTGTTTTGATTGTTTACCTTTAAAGTTCTATCCTGTGCAGAAAGACACTAACTTACATGCTTTATAATATTTTAATTTTGTACAGCAGGCAATCATCTAAATGGTATAGATACATTTCCCTCAACTCACTTATAAATATATATCTGGCTTTGTGAATTAGTTTATAATGATTTGTAGGGTAATACTTAGAAAACAAAATGAACAGGGAAGACAAATTGTGTATAATAAAAGCCACTGAGATCTTCTTAGAATAAAGGATTGGGGTGTTGTACATGTAAACTTGTAAGCTTTGCAAATTCTTGTTCAGGTGATCCTTTACTTTTGCGTATCATTCTAGGTATGATATTCAAATAGTATCCTCCTTCTAAAGTGTACTATTAAGGGTGAATTTTTTTTTTTTAATTGGAATACTTCTCTGAATGGAAATTATTCGAGGTTAAAAAGGGATATGCTAATAAATGAACAATAATAAAAACACTGGAGAAAATGGGTTTACTTTCAGTCAGAACAAATTTTCTGCAAGAAGACTATGACCTGGAATCTTTGCTTACTAAAATGATCAGCATGGACATTTAAGTTTTGAATATTTTACTGAGGTACTTAAAAATAAAGTAACCTTTCAGAAAGTTTTGAACAATTAACCATCAAAAGAGTTGACCATTTGAAAATATAGGAAACAAGTTTCTAAAATACAGTCACACAAGTTGGTAGGAGGGTTTTTTGGTTTGATTGTTGTGGGTTTTTCTCTTTAGTCCTTCTTTGCTACTGCTGCAGTCACGAGGTAGGGAGTAGCAGAACTTCCATATTTCAGTGGGTTTAATGGAAATAGGAACTCCAGTGGATCTGGTACTTGAATGCTCTTGTAATGAGGGTCAAATATCTTAGATAACTAGTCACCCATTTTTAGTTTGGTTCTCTGTTTCATGCATCAAATTAGAACAGAAATCCGTAAGCTGAGTACAACTTCTAAAATTTAAACCGAAAAAGGGAACTTAACTTCTTAATATTGAACCTTGAAAACCCTTCTTTTAGAAGATTTATGGGAGGAAGAAAAGGATAGAAAAGCTGTACTATATCTCTTTGTGCTTAAATGTAACCTCCTCTGTGAAACAAAACAAAAACCCAAACAAAACAAACAAAAAACCCAAAACAAATGAAAACCCACTGAAGGCAGAGTTAGTAGAGCAATCAGATTTGTCCAGTTCTTAAGTTACAGAAAATTATTAAAGAAAAACGAGCAATCAAAGATCCATGCTTCTTGCTCTTCTTAAGCATGAAGAAAACTGTATTTTCTTGGCAAACAGTTTTCTTAAAATACTGGAAATCAGGATTGTGATATACTGGAACTATGCTTTGTTCAGTAGAAACTTTAGTTTTTACATCGTTGGAATACAGTAATGTCTCATTTTCCCATCTCACATTCTGAGGAACTTTTCCAACTATTTCTTATGGTGCCAGATCTATTTCTGAGTTCTTCCCTCCCATTCCGGACATAGAAACAAGAACACGAAGAGTACATTAGTTTGTTTGTATTCTTCTACCACAGATCATGTAACTAAGTTCTTTTTTAAAAAAAATAAAAAAGGAAATGCACTGGAAGTTATGGAGTAAAGCCCATTTCTGTTTAATCCTACTTTACCTAAAAACAAGGCTGTCTCTTCTTAAAAAGGCAGAAAATACTTAACTAGCTAAAACAGAGCCAAAAACTAGCCAACTTCTTGCAAATTCCCAGTTCAAGGCTCTTTGAAAAGGATACGCTGCTTGTAGAGGAAATTGTTTTTACCTCTGTACTGTGTGCAACATTTATGATACTATCTATCAGAAGAACAACTGTATTTTCCCTCCCTTAGGAGGAAACCTCTTTTTCAGCATTAACAGAAATAGTTTGTGGGCTTTTTAAAAAGTATTATTTTCACATAATGAAAGAACAAAATTCCCATTGAATAAATTGTATTATTTTCTTCCATCTGGTGCATTAGAGTTTATTGCAAGAATTCAGTTCTTGGTAACTGGTTTGAATTTTAAAAACTTGCTTTTGATTATGTTATCAAGTGTGATCTTAGGAAAAAATCAGAGAGAAATGCATTAGCTACAGGAGTTACGAAATCAAGGAATTTTTTACTTTGCCTCCTACTCTTGCAAGTTATAGCTGTATTCTGAAGGTATGCTTTTAATGTTAATTGAATGTTAGTGGTAATAGTACAAGTCTACCAATGCTTCTCCAAGCATTTTCTGAAGTCATTGACACCACATTTTTCTTGAACAAATAAAGACAAAATAAAAATAATTAAAAAAAAAAAACCCTCTGAAATTCCACCCTACCTGCCACCCCAAAGTCAGAATGCATTATCACAGTACCAGTTGTACATATGCAATCATGTGCTAAAATGAGAATCACTGTTCAGCTGGTTATGTAGACAAGCCTTCAGTTTATTGCCTGAAGAATCTAGGAATAGCATCTCCAGAAATTACTGACTGCTTTGTTAAGATTGTTTAAAGAATACCTTTGATTTAGGCTTTTTTTTTTTTTTTAATCTTCTTCACAGTTGATCCATGTCTGGGGAAGGAATGAGGGCCTATTTCAGGAAACAGAACATTTAACATGCCTGCAAAAATGCAGCATTCCTGTGTGTTGATTGCCAGAGACCCTTCTTATTTGCCTCCCTTCCCTTTAGTAATTGGAACTAGTCTTTTTGGCACATTTGCATCAAGTGAACCATTCCACCACTTTCTGTGTGCAAATCCCATTAGCATTTAAATATGTGGACTGCAGGGTACCTTCTACCACCCTTATTCCAAACTTCTCAACCACTGCTTTCTTTTTTTCCTTTAATCCTCCTATCTCAGACTCTTTTTATTTTCTTCCACCTGTATTTTCTTGTCCCTAGCCTAGGACTCGCTTAGGGTTCTGCTTCATGAATGGAAGTGTTTATAATGGCTGTGCCTATGCTCTAGTCGTAGATCCATTTTGTGTGCACTTGCCCTGACAACTGAAAATCATTGTCTAGCTTGTTTAAAGTGGAATTGGTTTTTGTTGTCCTTTAACATTTCCATAACAGTTCAGCTGCTGATCTGTATCTGGTGTAGCAGTTTCTGCAGAACTGGGGGTTTGGCAATCCTGTAGATGGTTAGGCACATGCTTGCTGCTCTGGACCACTAAATTTATTCCTAGCTGAGCTACCGTGCTTAAGAGTTGATCGTAGCTGCTAATATAGCACTGTCTGCTGTATTGGAGCACTGTCTGCTGTATTGGAGCACTCTGGCTCTGTCACACTCATTATGAAAGATGTTGACAGAATGCTGTGATACAACAAAATCTGTATTGGAAACTTTTATAGCAAAATTTGTGTTGAGGTAGTCCTCTAAAGCTACATAATAAAATATAACTGAAACTATGCCATGGTCTTGGCATTTCAATTGATTCTTTTTGTGCTTTATACTCTACCATTTGTATATCCAGTCATGTGAGATGATAAAGATTGATATATTCTAAATTGGAGTACATAGGTTAAAACCCCTATGATCCCATACAGAATTAGAAGGAGGTTTATAGAAGAGATATCTAATGATGTCTCAGTGTGTAGAGATGGTTAAAGGACTGCCTTCATGTTTTATTTTTATTAGGTTTTGGTTGTTTCACATCAGTATTCTGAAAGGGGACAGTTTTGCTTCCAGGCTATTGTTTTGTCCACCTAATTTCTCTAGCCTTATGTAGTTAAATAATAGGGCAGGGAGTGTCTTTTGGTACAGTATGTACTAAGTCCGGAAGGAATCAATTGTTTAAAACGATTGGTTTAAAATTAATTTAGATAAATCACTCTGTATTTCTTTATTGAGGATTTGCACAAAACCATCGAGGGGGTCGTGGGAAGAAAGTCTGGAAACTTTCCTGGGGTACACAACAAGAAAGCACATCCCTCTATAGTTAGTGATGTTGCCACATCAGGGTATCCCTGAGGTCCTGGCTTCTGATCTCCTGAGACCACGCAATTAAAGGAGTGTGGGGGGCTGAGCCAGACTAGAAAGTAAAGTGCATGTTGGAGCTTGGAGGGAATAAGGAGGCAACAGTGGGAATCCAGTGCTACTCTTTACATCCTCCCATCTTGTTTTTCCAAAGAATGGATGTGTTTACCTCGTTTACCATCCTTTTTTTGCTTCTCTAGTAAGCTTAGTTGTGTCTGTTAATTACAGCTGGGGATTGTGATGGTCTTTCTGCTGTAGAGTTTGGGCAGCATTGCCAACTTGATTTCTATGAAATTAACAATTACACCAGATTTATCTGTACAGTGCTAATCCTGAGGGACTTGGGATTTGCTGACATTACTGGCATGCAAACAGTGAGTGTGCAAGAAGATACTGCTTCCTGGTTTAAAATTCACTAGGCACTTAAGGCATGTCATACTGAATTTTATGAGCCTCAATATAAAGAATGAAAACTTCAATCACTTCTTTACCAATGATAACTTTTTTAAAAAATATCTTCAGTTCTTACTGCTGGTTAATGGTGTGCAGTGGTTGATTCTAAATATTTGAAAGAAATATAAACAGTGTTCTATTTTGTTTTTCAGAGAATGCAGAATCAATTGATCTCAAACAGTTTTTTGACCTACATTTCTCACATATATATTATGTGTTCTTTGAAAACTTTGTGACTATTGAAGTAGGCCTTAAACAAAAGGGTAAGTATTCTAAATAGAACACTTCTTGTATAGGTGCTTGTATTTTTGTAATAAAATAAAGCAGGGTGCTGTAAATGGCGCCCTATGTGGTCACAAATGGTAGCATTAGCTGTGCAGATATATGTGTAAGCACTAACTTTGCAAATAAAGGCAGAGCAGTGAGATGTGTGCAGTGAAGGAGAGCAAGAGGTGCTTATTCTCTAAAGACAAGGTTTGTCCTTTTGCTAAGTGAAGATTCTTAAGGTATTATACTTTGTGTTCTGCAGAATTATTCTTTAACAAGGTATTGTGTAACTTAATCTCTCCCAGTTGTTGATGCCATAATAGGAAGTTATATAAACCGTAGCTGTTATAAACTGTATTTATGAAATGTAATTTCTATTTGCATAAGTAATGCAAAGTTATGGTTGTATAAATGCAGGGTTTTGGTTTACACATTTAAGGATCTTTGTCAATGCTTTTATATTTTGCTTTGATAATGAAAGTACCTCTATTTCTTTTTAATTTCATCTAGGTCACAAGTCTCAGAGAGAAGAGTTAGATTCTATTCTTTTTATTTTTGAGGTAAGATAATTGGAATATGTTTTTGCTTTGAATTAAGACCTGTTATTCTACAATTGCCTGGAAATACACTTTGCATTTAACTGCTTTCCTTCTTCCTTTTGCTTAGAGCTGAATTTATGTGCTTTGTGTGAGAAGAAAAAGAAATTGACTTGCAGTTTTGCAAGAAGATGTCTAAACTGGGAAAAGATATTTCCTATGTCTGCAGATAGTTCATTACTCTTTGGTGGTGGTGCTTCCCCCGTAGTGCATTATGCACTTTGAAATTCTCATAAAGTCAATCTCTGTTTAGTCATCATCTGATTGATTGCATGTTATCTCTATTTTTCTCTTAATAGATTGCTAATGCAGAATTGATTTTTATAGATCCTTTTTACTTTCAAAAAGATTCATTATTTCAAAATTGAATTTCACTATATCCTTTCCAAAAGCATATCTTGACTTAATTTAGGTAAATTAGAAACTAATTTAATGAAATGAGAACATTTCTGAGCAGACACTATAATTTAGAAATAGCTTAGAATGTCAAATTTTTGTCTTTCCTTTTTGATGGAGGCTTCTAATTATAGAACAAGGACTGTGGGTTTTTTTAAATATGTAAAACTGAAAGCTGATCGATACTTATCTCATGATTGAATACAAATTCAGTTATTATTTATTTATTAGTTAAGTATCTTGGTGAATCCGAAGAGAGCTAGTTCCTTTGTTCACTCGTTCATGCATGAAGGGATATTAAGTGATTTGTGCTTTAGAAGCAGTTGCACAGGGTGCTGGAGAGCCATATCCAGGAATTTATTTGAGAAACTAGGTTATTTACAAGTTGCAAGTGCCTCCAATTTAAATGTTGCAAGTGCTACATGATAAATTTTTAACTGCCTTTGTTACTAACTGCTCTGTTTCTTACTGTCTGAAGATGATCATCCTCCAACCTAGGTGTAGAGGTCTGGTCTTCATTGTTTTGCTGTAGCTCATTACCCCTCTGTTAAGAAGGCAGAAGCAAATATTTGCTTGTGCCACAGAGGCAAGCTGGCAGCTGAACATCCTGGCTTAAGCCACTAGAAAGGTGGAATAACCTAATGCAACCAATTGTGAACTAGAGAGAGAGACAGACAGACACTCATCCTATTGCATTCCCTATGCTATAAGGAGCAGCATCTATCAGAGGCAGTGGAGCCAGATGAACTGCAGTAACATCTGAAGTCTCCAGTGCAGGATTTGTCAGAAAGTCTGTCAGAGCCTTTAGGCTTCTTAGCTTTAGGAATGGGATCAACTTGAAAGGACAATAATGCTTCCAAGGAGAACAGTGTGGGAATTTTCTATGTTGATGCTTCAGCTTCTGACCTGTGGCCTTTGTGAAAACACTCTTTTGTCTTCTGAGAGCAACATCTACAACATACATCCTTGGGTTCTGGTTTTTTTTATAGAAAATTTTGCAACTCCTTCCTGAAAGGATTCATCAGAGATGGCAATTTCATAGTATTGGTAAGTTGATTTTCTTTTTTTTCTTTTTCTTTTTTTTTAGAGTTCTTTTTTATTAGTAGGTACTAGTAGTTTATGCTACTTATTTCCTTGAACTTTAAGTGGTGTACCAGGGATTATGATATTGAAACTCTTGCCAGCTAGGTTAAGGAAAAAATATAATAATAAAGGAAACAAACAAAAAATCCCACCGATGTAATGAATGCTCTTCTAGATAGAATTAAATCTGAGAATCTGAAAATATAACAGTGACTGTGAAAGAACAAGGAGAAGGTGGAATGTTTTAATTTAATTATTTAAAATTTATTTAAAATTAATTTAAAATTTAATGTTTTAATTATTTTTTTCCTTATTTTTTTGTTTTAGTAATACATTTCAAAATTGACATGAGGTTGATATTTGTAAATGGGGAATGCTGATTTTATGCATAATGATGACTTGAAAATGATTTACTTTTAATGTACACATCTCAGAAGTCTTTGGGGAAAGATACTATACATTATGAGGAAGCTATAAAAGGTGATATTTGGTTTTTTTCCTTCTGGCATTGAGTCAGTTGCCTGAAGATATCAAGGTCACCAAGATTAAATCAGAGATTGCCAAGGACTTGTTTAAAAGTTACTGTCAAGTCTGACCGAGAACTCTGACATCTTACTTATATAGAAAGAAATAACAAAAGCAAACAAATATTTTTTTCCTTTTTTTTTAGGATTGATTTTAAAGAAGCTTCTTCACACTGGAAATTCATTAAAGGTATTGGAAAAAGTTGCATACTACTTTTGCTTAAAATACTGAAAAATACAAATAAGAACTTAAGAGCAAATTTTTATGGTAAAAGCACAGGAATCAGAACCAGATCATGACTTGTGTGCCGTTAAAGAATGACTTCAAATCATCATCTTTACCTCGGTAGAACTACTCAGGGTAGTAATGTGTTGATATAAAGTAGCCAGTGGTTTAAAGGATTTTGTATTAACGCAGAAGTATTGCCTTAACCATTCGGTATTAGGGGCAAGGAAACTGGCTTAAGGACTCAGGAATCAGAACTACCTTGGAAATGGATGATTATCTCTGCCAAACAGACTTGCTTGTGGGTAGAGTAACTTAAACAGCAGACCATGGGCCATTAAAATGTAACATGTAGTTTTGGTACTGTAACTGCTTCATTCCTCTGTAAACCACCTGCAGGCTTGTCTGATACTGAAATTCGCCAGTAGGAGAACCAGGAGGGGAGTGATCTAGGACTCCATCACCTTTTTTGAAGGAGAAATGGAAGAAGGTAGAATGGGTCATTCTGATACAGAAAGCTCACTCTGTTGTTGTCACGAACACATTTAGAAATTTTGTGTCAGTCTTTATTTTCTGAAAAATTAATGTGGCATCTTGAGTGCTGTAGTCAAGCAAGTGATTAGACACGTATTGGTTTTTTCCTCTTCTTTCAGAGAAACCCCTGTGAAAAATTCTGTGAGATAAACAGCAGTGAAGGTGCCAAGGTTGCCTTTACATTTCAGCAGGAGCAGCAGATGTGTTAGATTAGCTCTGCTGATTGCTGGTGGTCATACTGTCTTTCCTCATTTTTTCTATCATTCACCTTCTTCCTCCAGGTCCAGTGGAAATTCATTTTTATGTTCTGGGACAAGATAACTTCTGGTTTTTTTCCTTTTAAGATACGTCGAGAGGGCGTGCGTCTCTTTCTTCTGTGGTTGCAAGCGCTTCAAAATAACTGTAGTAAAGAACAATTATGGATGTTTTCTTGCTTGATTCCTGGATTTTCATCACCACAGTCTGAATATGGCCCCCGAACACTTGATAATCTCATTAACCCTCCACTTAATGTTCAAGAAAGTAAGTTATTTGGTAATATTACTCAGTTCTCAACATAATTCAATTCTTGTAACAGAAAAGGCAAGCTGAGGTAACAAAAACTAAAGTACATATGTACCCAGGAAGATGATGGAGCTATTAATGAATTTCTTAGCAGTTTATCAGGTCTTCTTTCAGCAGCAACTGTTTTGCTATTTTTCAGGATGAGTTGTTTGTTGTGGTTGTTGGGGTCTTTTCCCTAAGTATGACTATTTTAGCTTAACACACAGGGGGTGAAAATTAACTGACCAATTGTATGCAGTTCTTCAGAACCGCAAGAGAATATTGCGTCTACTGCAAACTTGCACATTCTGCTTGCGTTGAACATTTGCACTGACCTTGTTCATACTCCAGGGACCAAGCTATGCAAAGCAGTTTCTGCTGTGACCTTTAGGAGAATGAGTGGTTTTTAGGGCACTATGTAAGGACAAATGTGTCTGTGTATGACCAGGCAATTAAGGCTGTGGTGTTTTTGCAATTAGAAATCTTTGAAAAGCATCAGACCTTGTAAATTGCAAAACCTGAGGTCGTAAAGGTTTGCATCAATAGAAAAGCACAAGCATTCTGAGATAAAGTTTTTATACTTTCTAGTTTTTTTTGGTTTACTGGTAAGGTCATTATCTTGATTTTAATCAATAAAGGATAATTCTTCTCTTAAGATGATTCTTATGACATTTTTTCCGTTGTTCACTCTAGCAGTAAGTATCAGGTACTGGTTACTTTGGGGAGCCTCTTACCTCCTAACTCAATTTATTCATGTTAGTGGGATTTTAAGCTCACTTATTAATGAATTACAATTAGATGAGGTCATAAGTGCAAACTGTGCATTCACATAAGTGGGAAATAAAATTTAACTGCTTTTTCCTCTGAATATTAATTGCTGTTGCCTTCTTTCCATCTTCACCCAGTATTTTAATATTTTATTGCTTGTAAAGGCAAGTAGAGTCTCAGACTAGTTATTAAATTTTCTGAAACTTAGCAGACAAATTTCATGGCGGGATAGCTCTGCAGGCAAAAGTTTGCTACATACTTAGGCCCTGTTTTGTAGTTATCTTGTGAAATGCAGAGTGCAGAGTGAAATGTGAGCATCTAACCACAGGAACAGGAGAAAAATCAACTCTGAAGTAGCTTCATTGTTGGAGCAAAGAAAGGAGCTAGTAAAACTTTAAGAGAAATGTAACTGGTCAACTATTAAATGAGAAAATTGTGAAAGATGTAAATAAAGATTTAGCATTTGTACAACATAAATGTTACTCTATTATTTGCATAAATTCCAAAAGAAATGGATTACACCATTTGGAAAAATTCTGTTTTGGCAGGTAGATTCCCAAGGCACATTAAGAAAACCTAGTTATTATCTGCTGTGCTTTTTATATGTGTCAGAAATTAATTCTGTGGTGATTTATTAGTTAAAATTTCCTGATTTTCATTAATCTGTGGGTGTACTGTTTTACCTACAACTGTCTCTACTTACCCCAGTGCATTTCTACTTTCATAACTTGGTAGATATTTATGCATGAGAAGAAATAGTCTAAATGTTAGGTGTACTTCTATTTTTCTTTAAATAGCTCAAGTGACTACTGAGGAAATCACTCCACTTGTTCCTCCACAATCGGGAGATAAAGGACAAGAAGATTTAACAAGCTATTTTTTAGAAGCACTTTTGAAATACATGGTAATTCAGGTATGTTTTATAGTTTTCAAGCAAACAAATATGAAACGATTCGCACCTCTTTGTCCATTACAGTAAGTTTTTTTTCTTTTAGCACTACAGACGTATATAAAAATCCTTTAGAGATTTCTCCCTCTTGCCCCTCCCTCAAGTGTCCTTTATAAAAAGCAGATTCTCCTAGAAAAATCTCCACTTGTCTTCCATGTGAAGATTCCTAAGTCCTTTACCAGAGGATTTTCCATCAGATTGTGGCATAGAGGAAAAACGATTTGTCAGTCACTTCCAACTGACTTCAGCCCTCTTCCCATTTTCACCTCCCCTTCGCTGCCCTGTTGCCTTCAACCAGTGGATCAACTGTGTGCAGTAGTAGTTTGACATGATCACAGCCAGTACTTGAAATGCCTAGGGCAGGGCATGGCAACAGCTTTTGTCAAAAACTGTGGCCTACCTGTTATAGGTTATGTAATTGATTTGCTGGCCAACTAGCACATGCTGCTTTTGAGCCTGCTCTACTCTCATGTGCACAGCAAGTTGCTTCACTGCATGACACATAGAAGGTGTTCCAGGGTACTGCCTTCTGGGTTAGACTAGTCCAGCAGAGCCCACTTGGGTATCTATCCATAAGTTTTCCTTCCCACTTTTGCCAGTTTTCTAGAGAAGATGGGCAGTGTACAAATATGACCAATGTTAAACATTTCATGGCTTCCCTTTATCTATCCTTCTGTGTTAACTTTGCCATGCTGGAATCATTTGCAACCTCATTTTGTTGCTTCCAGCATCCCCCAGTTTGAATAGGGGTCATTGTGATCTGTAGGGTAAGCTTATTGCTCACTATTCACTTTGAAGAAAAATAGTGTTTACGTCTTTGAAGACAACTGCTCTCTCTGTAGTGAATTGGTAGTATTGTATTTAAATTCAGATGAGTCATTGAGACAGGTGTCATAGACCTTGTTCAGTATGTGAGTGCTGAAGGTTTGCTGAAGTTTCTTTAGAGGCACTGACAGTTGCAAGCTGAGAAGTTACTTCTTTAAGTTCTGCTAAAGGACTTTGTGTCACAAAATTATACGTATCACCCATTCTATTGAATTATATCGGGGGATGAAATATGTATTCCACTCTAAAAGCCTTGAAAATAGATCATAATAGAACTGTGGCTTTGAGTAAGGAATGGAGGAGTAGAGGGGAAAAGAAAAAAAAAAGAAGAGGGAGATGTTTTCCTCTATATTATTTATTATAGAATTGACAGAATACCCAGCTCTGCAGGCAGATGGATCCTCATGAACAAAGATGGAAACTGCGTGTTGGATGACTTAAGGAGAAGTTACCATACTTTGTACTGCTTACCGTGTAGAAAAACATTTCATAATGGGAAATGCTTAGCACTCATGATCCATGAAAGTACATTTATGTAACTCAACTTTAAAGTTGTATCTTCTGATGCACGGGATTGAAAAATTTGTTTGTTTCATATTGCCAACTGCGCAAATGAATCCAAGTACCTATTATAATGACTATATGGATACTTACTAGTCAAAATGTGTTAAAAGAAATTGTTAAAGAAATATTTGGAGTGGCATGGGTAATTATTATTCTCTTACAAAATATTTTGAAATAAGACAGTTTTATTAAAAGCATTGAATTTGAGTTTACTCCCTGAGTTAGCAAGATGACTGCAAAGGTGGATATATTTCTATTGGTTTTGATATTTGATGTGTTCAAGTTCATGTTTTAGAAGAGAACAGCCTTTGTTTCTGTGATGTTTCCTAGCTTGTTTCTTTTTCATCTTTCTGAAAGTGTTTGTTAAAACATACATGATTTTGTTTCAAAGAAGTAACTGATGAAATGTCCTCTTTATAAATTATCTCTCTTTTCTACTTCAAGATGTTTACTTTGTCTAATTTCTTTTTTTAAGGTTAAGAGTTTAGAATGGAAGAACAAGGAAAATCAGGAAAAGGGATTTTCATTTTTATTCTCAAATTTTAAGAAGTACTACTTACCGTCTATTTTCCCAAACATCTGTAAGGAGACCAGCTTGTATAACCCTATACTTGGTAAGTGTTAACACAGCTGGTAAAATAATTACATTTTACCTAATACAGAAGTTATGGTACAATTAGTGAGAGATGCCTCTGCCCCAGATAAGTTGCAAACTAGACCAAATTCCAGTTCAACAACACCAACTTTATTTTGTAACATTAAGTGTATAGGGGAAAGAGAAAGAGAGAGGGAGAAGGAGAGAGATAGTACAAGCAAAAGATAGTCACCACCTGTAGATCCAGCGGCATCCCATCAATCCTTCTTTACCTTGGGCACAGTGGTGAGGGACTCAGTTCATTCTTTTGTTGGTAAGTTCTGTGCAGAAAGGGGTGCTGGGTCAATAGAGGTTGCTGCTGACTACCAAATCATTTCACATTTATACATTTTAGCAAACAAAGGAATTAATACTTATTGGCTACATGTTACATAGTTCTCTTATTACTTAGTATTGTCTTCTATTGATTAAATTTCTCATGCTAATTAGTGTGCATGCTCAGTCTTCCTCTTCTTTTGCGTCATGGATTTCTGGAGTTGGTGGACCATGAGTCAGTGATCGTGATCTCCCCCTGCCAGAATTACCTTTTACCCAGTCGGAGCTGATTTCAGCACAATTGCTGAGTTGGTTTTATTAGTTTCTTCCTTATCTTGGGAGTTGTGACAAATGTCCTTGTGGCCCATAAATTCTGCATTCTTTGTATCCACTATCAGTGATATATCCTTCTTCCCAAGCTTTGCTAACCTCCTGCAAGATCTTAACACCCGGACAGCTGTGCTACCTTTATGCAGTCCAAGTTCTGGGTATCCACAGAGGCGTATTCCAGCGGGATTGGATGGCTGTTGATGGTCGCAGATGCCGTCTCTCCCATGACTTGGGATGATCTTTTTGTTTGACCAGTGATACGCATATGAGGAGTTGCTTCTTTTCCACACAGTCTGGCGCTGTGGGAATGAGTTAACCTGGATGTGCTAACCAGATCTTGCCTCTGCCAAGGCCTAGAATTAGCACCTTCCTGTCAGAAATTCCTCCCTTCTATGGCCTTAACAGTGTTTGAGGCAGGTAACTGTGCTCTTGAACCTCTAACAAGAGAAAATAGCAAAACAGTTTTTTGCTTCAGTCCTGTTACCCACGAAGAGCATTCTCCAAAAGTATTTCTTATGAAAGAACATGTTATGGTTCCTGCTCATGGTTTTCAGTTCTTCATTTGTGGAGGCCTCTAACTCTTTTATTAGAGTCAATCTTGCTATATTAACTGATTGAGGTAAATGAAATGTTCTTGTAAAGCAGTTCTTTAATGTGACCTGTTTTGTTGACCTCAGTTTTGCTCTGGAGAGAAACTACTGCTGCTGAGATATTAGTGTGCTGTTCTTTGAGTGTGTTGACTTTATCTGTACAGAATCATAGTGTTTGGATCATACAGTGCTTGTTCATAGTTCTGACAGGGCAAAGTTAATTAGGTTTTTGTGCCCGACTGCCTTTTGTCAAGAGCTTGCAGTAGGAAGACGAAGCTAGGGTTTAACACGCTCCTTAAGTCTGATGGTGCTAGAATGTATCTTTCCAGATAGAGAGTGGAATTTTAGGTTTAAGCAAACTTGAGTGGAATTTTAGTCAGAGGGTTTTAGCCCATTTTTAAACTAGAGCATTGTTTGCAAATCTTGATTTTTGTTATATCAGGTTTGCATGCACCCATGCAGTGTTGGTTGTAAGCCAACAGAGTTCAAGACTCTTCTTTGCAAAGCAATACCACGCACACAGGCTTTGAGCTACCATTTCATTACTTGAAACACTAGTTACACAAACACCTCACCTCACTGTTCCTCTTATCTGACGGTGCAGCATCTCAAAAGCATTAGTAGGGATGTCCAGCCACAATTCCATATTATAAAATCAGGCTGTCAGGGAAATTTGTTCGAAAAGGTTGTAGTTTCTTCCAGTGTATATGCGTTTATTTGGATTTCAGAGATGGTTATTTCAAAACTGTGTATGCTTGGAAGAGACAAACAGTGGACCTTCTCATCTAGGGGAGAAGAAACAGCATACCAGTAGAACAAGACTTATGTGAAGATGCTGAAGAGGTTCAATGATAAAATAGCTACAAGAGGGTTGCTAAGCAGTGTTGAGAAAGCAAACCTACCGTTGCTTGATGCCCTCAAACAAGAAATAGGGAAATTTTATTTTCTCTTTCTATGAAGATCTTGATTTAGTCTTCCATAGAAATGTTACTTTAGTCCTCTGTTTTTCTGTGAACCGTAAACAAGAAACTTCCAACACCTTAATAAAGAAGAGGACACTGGGGAACAAGAAGAAGTAGGCACAGATCTCCAAAATTACTTTGAGTGCCTTAAACTGTGCAAAGTCAGCAGCAGTGATGAGGATTTTTTGAACAATACAGTGATGAAAACAGCAGAAGCACAGGTAAGTAGAATAATCTTTTCTTCTTCTCTGGCATGCATCTTCCTACCCTATTCGAAAATAATCCTGTGCCTGTTCTGAATTTACAGCATTTAGGCTGAAAGCAGGGCAAACTTGGGCACTGAGCCTGCTACTGAAAACAGTTCTTATGCTACTGGTGTAGTGTTTAATCCAGGAGAAGTCATAAGGTTTTAGTAAGCAAGCATTGATACAGGGCTTTACTGGATATAGTATATTGGACTGAGGTTTGTTTTTTTCCTTCTTTCCTTCTTTCTTTTCAGATAAATATACTGGTTACAGTAACAAGGACCGAGCATTTCAGTTACAAGAAGGCTACTATTGTGCCTTGCATTAGAAAAACCTATGAGATCCATGAGATTGGTTTTTTGTGGGGATTTATTTAGGGTTTTTTGGTTTGGTTTGGTTTGGGGGTTTTTGATTTTTTTTTTTTGTCTTACTGTAATGTCTGTGTTAAACATCTGCTGAGACTGAGTTAGAAACAATTTGGGAAGAGCTGTAGGTATGGCAGTAAGATTCTAGGGGCATTGCTTCTTCCATTATAATAATGTGCCTTTTTCTGATGTTTCCAAGACATTTAGATGGGCTCCTTCGTGTACAGGGAAAAACAGAGTGGGCTATCCTACAGTTTTCTTCAACTCTTCATTCCTTATTAACCCTTTATTGTCTTAAACATGGTCAAAGCGTATAAGTGTCCACCATTATAACTGTGGTTTTGCTGACCTTTTCATTTTCTACCCTATGAATGTCTTCCACCACCTACAACTTCCTGCCCTCTTTGGCATCAGCTCACATCAGGTTCCCAGAGGGGAAGGGCGAGGGGTGTGGAAAGCCCAGAACATAGCAGAAAGGAAAAAGGGAAAGTTGAGGGAAGGGAATATTTCCTTTTGTGCTGTTTGTGTCAATCTAACAAGCTCTGTTTTGCTTTGGTTTTATGTCTGTGTCCTCATGTGAAGCCTTGATACCTACATCCAAGATGGACAGAAACATGAAAATAGAAGAAATGGCTGAAGGAGAATACATTTGAGAAGCAGCTTCAGCACATACTGCAGTTGAAACAAAATGTATAGAGAGGATGTTCTGAGAGGATATCATGAAACTAGAAAGAGACAGTGTACCACGAAGACATGTTTACTGTATTTTAGTCCTTTTGAAAATACTGCAGCCTTTATGCTCTGCTGAATGCAAATAGATACCAGAGAGAACTAATTTTTGCATCTTTAAATACTGTGCTATCAGGCATTTGCTTTCTTCTTTCACAAATTGTACTGTTATATATGCATCTGTTTAAGATACTAGTTTTTCATTTTCTTACTAGCCTACTGCTTTCCACAGAATGAAAACAATGTGCTGAGTATTTTTAGTTGGAGTAAATAAACTATTTGTAAACTTTTCAAAAAGTGTTTTGTGCATTTGTTACTTATTTAGGTGGATAGTATGCAAGAACTGTGTTTTTTTTCCTCTAAAAATAATGCTTCCATTAATAAGTATGGATGTCAATTTGTAGTGTGTACTGGAAACATTCTTCAGTTTAGCAGCGTTGTGATGAATTTATCACTACCTAAGTACGTGGCTGTTGAAATGGCACTGAGATGTACCATCTTGGATATCCTCAGTGCTGGTGCTGGATTTTGTGTATTTGTAATGATAACAAGGAAATCTTTGCCACAGTCTGGCACATAGGCTGGCTTCACTTTAAGATGCCTTAAAAAGGCTGTTGTAATTTAATTGCCTAGATAGTAGTAGTTTATTTCTTTGCTACTATCCAGGTAGCTCCTGTATTCTGACACCATGACCTGGCAAAGTTATGCAGGATCCTTTAAAACATCTCTTGACTTCATATTCGGAATATACAGTCAGGGAACAACTTTATCTTGTTCAGTGTGACTACTTTATATCTTCTTTGACTCCCACCATTAGTATCCTTGAACTGCTGTCTAGTCTGTAAAACCATGGAACATCTCTCTTGCTCATGTACTACAGGCTATAGAAGAGTTGAGGCCGTGCTGAAATACTATTTCTGTCACTCTGTATCTGGATAAGACTGTCATTTTCCATGCTTCCTTCTTTTTGGTTTTGTTTGTTGTTGTTTTGGTTTGGATTTTTGTTTATGCTGTTTGTGTTCTGGTTTGGGGGTTTGTGCTGTCAGTAGATTAAAATCATGATACTGAAACACCAGCAGCAGGGTGTTCTGACGCACATGTCATAATCTGTCCTCACACAAATATTCATCTTCTGTCTGTATTGGAGCATATCTCACACTTGTCCTTCCAGAGCTAGAACTAGAGCTGGTTGGCACACCACTCCCAGAGAAATGTCATTTACACATGAAAGTACTGTTGCTGCTTCAGATTGATAATTAGTAATGCAGAACTATTCTGCACCCTGTCTTGGGTTGTGAAACCCAGAAATTACATTTTGCAGTGTTAAGTCACAGGAAAAAAAACCACACAATTTTAAAACAGTATCCATGTTTCCCTGTCTTTGTAGTGCATTTACCACACATGTCCATTCTGTCCACATTGAGTTATTAAGTACTGGCATATTTTTTTCTTAAGCAGATTCAGAAATACTGGTAACTCTAGCACAGTGGAGAACCAGAAGAGCTAAACAGTTCTGAACTATCATGTAGATCAGGGGATGGCGAAAATGGAATTGTCAGTTACAGGGCCCAAATAAGCACAGTTCCTGTCAGTTCATGTGCTGCTGAACATCGTTCATTACCATCACTGCAAGCTAGTATGGAAGCTATTGTCACAGAATCATCTTTCAGCTAAGTCATAGGAAGATGTGCCTGTGGGCTCGCAGCAAAGTCCAGCAAAACTAACCAGTGCAGATGTGGCACTAGGTGAAACTGCAAAGCTCATGTGGCTTTGGAGCAGGATTTCTCTGTTCTATTCATATTTCACCTATTGCAGGGCCAGAAGAGGCTGTGTTTGTTGCAGCTGCATGTATACATTTGGGAATTATATATCTCCCATTGTAGTCATGGTTGGATTTGACAGTATCTTAATTTTGTATGAAAATAGTTTTCTCGTGTAGGTCAGTTAACTGTTAACTAGTTAACAGTTGTTTTGCTACTTAGAACTTTGTAATTTTTTATGAAAACGTGAAGTAGTGAGTTTGCTGGAGTTTAAATATTGAGTATAACAAGTAGCTTAAAAAAACCTGAAAACAAGGAAAAGAAATATATATACTTGTTTAGAAAAAAAAATGCAAGCAAAGATGTAAAGCTATAGAAATCGCTCTCAGATAAAACAATTAAAGGTTTTGCGTAGCAGAAATAAGTTTTTGTCTTTTGGACCAGTGTTGTCTCCCTCCAGAAGTAAAGTATTTGGATGACTTACAATAGAAATTTTCTCTATTGCATTCATTTCAGCATATCTTGGAATGAGTTGTGCAACAGTGAATGCAATAAAACAACACCTTTGAAAGTTCGTGTGTATTGGTTATGGTTTTAGAATTTCTTTTTTACACGGAGCTTTCTCTCTGCACATATTTTTAAGATGTTGTATTTCTTCACAGATATACCACAAATGAGACCAAAGCCACACTACGTAATGGTTAAGAAAGATGCTGAAACCAATGAGGCAATATATTGCACAAAGGAACCTTTTATTAAGGCTCGTGTTATTGTCATTAGATGGTTGGTGTCTTTCTGGCTTGAGCCAAAACCTCACACAGGACCTCATATTCCTGGGATGGAAGGTGAAAATGTGCCAAAGAACATTCAGGTAAAATCAAATACATCACAATGTGTTTGTTTTCCTGTTTTTGTCTTAATTGTTGTCAGCAGTATGCACTCCTACGATAATTACAACTAATGAAAAGTTAAAAAAGGAATTTCTGAACAGATGTTATGCTTATTAATTCACTTCAGAACGACCTACTATGCTGCTTTTTTTTGTTTCAAATTCTGCAATTTGTTTTTAATCAAATAGGCATAAGAACTGTTAAAATGCAGTGAATTCTTTTTTGTGTGTGTTTTTTTTTCTTGAATCCATTCTACTGGTTTAAATTTTACTGTTATGTAACTTAAATTGTACCATTTGATTATTGTACTAAAAATGAGCTGTGGAATATTCTTTAATTTTTCTTTCAGAGAGCAGCTGCTAGCATGGCTTCAAGGGAGGACAGCAAAAATGACAGTACTGATAAGCAGGATAGAAATGCAGAGCCAGAACAATCTCATTCTAATACGAGTACTCTAACTGAGAGAGAACCAAGTTCTTCCAGCCTCTGCAGTATTGATGAAGAGCATTTAACTGATATTGAAATTGTCCGCAAAGTCTTTTCTTCTAAAAGAAGCAATGTTAATTTTCTAACTGAGATTTTTCGACAGGTAAAAAAACCTCTTTAAAATGCATGAATCTTGGTTATTATATTGTAAATTATCATTATGTCATGGTTTTCTTTCAAGAGCACTTGATTAGCCGAATGCTATATAAAATTACAGTTCTTCTGTCATCTTGCCTTTAAGGATCTATCATCTTACCCTTAAGAATCAAAAAGCTAAAATTCTGAAATATTTTCTATGTAGAATATCCCCAGTTCTAATTTTTTTAGTTTTATATCTTTAATAACCAGTTTGACAGCATTTAACTTGGTCTTCACAGTTCCCCATAAACGGGAATGTTTCATCTTTTCATACATCAACACTGTAGCTGTTAGAACTCAAAACCAACCATATTTACATAAGCCTCCTGTGGGAGTCTCCAGCTGTTAAAGAGCTGTTTTAGGAGCAATTGCATGTCCTTACCTTGATAGTGTTCATCAGGAGACTGGGACAAGTGGCTGTAGAAGAGGTAACAGCTTCTGCCTCTGACTTCACTGCAACCAGAAACATTAGCTGAGCATGTTCAAAATAGTGTTTCTCAACTGGAAACTAAACAAATTTAAACTGAGCAGACATACCAGAATAGAACAAGATAGACTTTCTTTATGCCCCATGCTATAGATCAAAAGACAAGAGGGTTTTCTGGACAATGGTAAAGAAAAATACACGAAGTTTTGAGTCAAACGCACAACACTAATTGCTTTAAACAGCAGGAAGCTTAACATTTTAAAACTCAGTTATACCTGGATATTTTTGAATGAGGTAAATAAATCTCAGAAGCTTGTCCACATCCCTTGTATTGAAGAGCTTGGACACATTACTGAAGGAGATAGTTACCTGAATTCAGCTGCCACTCAAGGGTTTATAGGGTCTGAGACATGAAATGTAGTCTAAATTATAAATGGTCAATTTAAAAACTGTCCCCCCAGTGAAAAGTGGCAGGAAGGACAATTTTCTTCATTCTTTTCACAAGGTACTCCATGAGTTATGTAGATTATTTAGATTTTATGTGCAGTTAGGAGATCTCATTTACATAATTATTTAACCAGGAGTCTTCAGGTTAAATTCATTTCTAATATGTCAGGAGTTGTCTAAAACATTAGGACTGAGTTATTCCAGTCAAGAGGAGGCTTCAGTTGTACTGAGCGGTAGAAAGATTGTTTGTAGGGAACAAGTTTTATGCATTTCAGACTTCAGGGTACAAAAAAATGTGTATTGAGCCTGCAGAAGACTGTTGGACTTGATGAGTAAGTGTGTGACTGATGAACTTGTTAAATTCTGTAATACATACATCAGTTCTTTTCAGTGGGATAATAGTATTAGATGTGTATTTACAGAGAGAACATAAAACTTTTGTTAAGTGGGCCCTCCATAAAGACATAGGCAATGAATTTTCAGCATTCACAGCATGGACTCAGTAAAGCAGGGTGTTAGTGTAGTTTATCTGTTTTTTAAAAAAATGTAGTTAGGGCATCATCATCTTTGGTAAATGTATTTATAGTTAGTTAAAACCTGACTAGTATTAAAGGTTTCTGGTCTGTTGTTGCTACCAGCACAGCAGATACAGAAAACCTACTGAAGAGGGCACTGATCAGCCATTACACCAACTCAAATGCACAAATTTTAGGAACAATAATTCTAAAGTCTTTTCAGGTAGTCATTTGTTTTAAGGATACCATTTTGTAAAATCTCATTTACCTAAAAATAAGATTGATGGCTACCAATATTGTGTGTCACTTGATTTTTTCTTAGTCATTTAAAACTGGCTTAACTCCACTCTTCCAAATCCTCTGAATGGAAAATTGTTGTAATAGAAACTTCTGCTCGTTCATTTTCCATATTTTTGAGGAGTGTTTGGGTCTTAATTTTTGCAGGCTAGGTATTAAGTAGATATGCCTGCATGGATTCTCATCTCTCACCCTCTTTGGCAATGAAGTTGTCAAAGTACTTTCTTGACAAGTTTCCTTGTTTAAATCTCTTTTTTTTTTCGTTTACATATGAAGAAAGTGAACAAACATTTAGGTTGAGGAATAAAATGTATGTTAAGATCCTACAGTGGATGTATTCCCCTGCCCCCTTCTTGTACATTATAGAGCCCAAGTTGATTTCAGGTATTCTAACTGGGTTTTGTTTTTTTCTTTTTCTACTCACAGGCATTTCTGTTGCCAATATGTGAAGCAGCTGCCATGAGGAAAGTGGTGAAGGTGTATCAAGAATGGATTCAACAAGAAGACAAACCTTTATTTATGAAAGAACCTGAAGAAATAATGCAGGGCACAGCTGTAGATTGTGATGAAAACATTGACCATAATTCATCAGAGAAAGGAAAAGAAAGAGAAGAGGTAAAATATTTTTTGTTAATACTTGTGTGGCTTTTTAATATACCAGTAGACAGAGAAGTGGCTTTCTTGATAGTTTATGTGTGGCTTACTTTGATGTTAGAGCATCTGTTGGGGAAAATCAATTGTACAACACTGCATGAATGAGCTACCAATTTTATCCATTATCTGAAGCTTTTTAGTGTGGCTAATGTGGCTAATTCAGTTGAAAACTTCATATTTTATGAACTGTTCTCAAGATATGGTTATACGGTGTGCCAGTGTTCAGCTTTGTAAAAATTATATACAAATAAAAGGATGAGGAAAATAGTAGTTATTTCATTCAGATACTTCTAAGATAATTGCTACAAGCTTCATGAAATACTGTTGTGTCTTTAAGGTGCATTTGTCTGCCATTGTTTAATATGTGTTATATCCTTTTTCCTTTAATATAAAGCCAAATTACATGTCTATAAATGTATGCGATTTTAAGAAAAAATATTTTTCAGGAAAAAGGGATGAACTCCAGTCATGTTAGAAATTCAAACTGGACAAGAAATGGCTGTTATGAAGACACTTTGCATAAAACATCTGAAATTGATAATGAAGAGCAAAATGTACGAGCTGGAGTGCAGTCAGTATTGCAGGTATGAAATAGACTTGATATCTAATTTTATCTGAATTTTCTGTCTAAAATTACCTAAAACTCTTGCTATCAACACATAAAGAATGGAATGTAATGCAATACTTCTGCCAGGGAATCCTATGCATCTCTAAAGCATCTCTAAATTTTAAAAATTATTTTATATGTAACAAGTATGATGGTAAATATAGTTAGAATAATAACAGTGATTCATTATACCTTTATTGACCTTAAGCAGGAATGAAAATGTATAGACCACTGTTGGGTTAAACTATAAAAAAAATCTTTTAATTATGTGTCAGAACATGCATTCAGCTCTGCATCATATCGCAGAAAAAATAATCCTCATTTGAATGTGACATCCTCAAGTACCAGCCTTGCCAGGCCTAAGCGATGGGATGGTGTGCCAAAACATGAGGAAACACGAACTAACAGGATCCCTCAATCTGCCTCATGAGGTGTTGGCTACAGTGTACCACACCTGCAATGTTTCTACACCACTGCACACAGCTTGAAATGAAAACAAGAGGAGCTCCAAGCTTTGGCCCAGTCCCAGAGATTTGACATCACTGGCATAAGTGAAGTCTGGTAGGATGAGACCTATGGCTGGAGTGCCCTGTTGGACAGGAGAGATAGACAGGGGCAGAAGAGGCAGAGGGGTAGCCCTGTATGTAGTGGAAGAGTTAGAATGTATGGAGCTCACAGTTGGCAATGGCACAGTTGAGAGACTCTGGGTAAGAACCAAGGGGCAAACAAATAATGCGGATGTCATCGAGCCAGGACCTCCCAGCCAGGATGATGCCGACAAATTATTCTTTAAGGAACTAAGGGACACTTCCAAGTCAATGGCTCTTGCCCTTACTGGGGACTTCAACTTGCCAGAAATCAACTCGGAGCAACACACAGCTGATACAACCTGGGTTAGAAGATTTCTAAAAAATCTGGATGACAATTTTATGGAACAGATCCTGAACAGGTCCTAAGGGAACCAACTTGAAAAGATGCTCTCCTTGATCTGCTACTTGTCAACAAGAGTGGATTTTGTGAATGAAGTGAGAGATTGGTGGCTGTATTGGTCACAGTGACCACAAAGTGACTGAGTTTAAAACCTCCACTGACAGAAGGAAAAGTGCCAACAAAACCTCAGCTCAGGACATGAGGAGAGTAGACTTCAGGCTGCTCAGGGAATTATTAAGTAAGGTCCCCTGGGAAATGTTTTTGCAGGTGCTGGGATCCATCAGCGTTAAGTCACTCTTCAAACATCACCTCCCAAAGGCACAGGAGCAGGCAATTCCCAAATGTCAGA